CTCGTAAAGGCGGGCGGGGCCAAGGGCGGAGTGGCCCCGACCCGGGAGGATATAAGGTGGGTCCCTGAGAGAGACTGGGGTCGCTGCATTCGACAAGCTGGAAGCTCTACGTCTTACAAGCTGGAAGCTCTGCAGGCATCAACACGTAGCCAGGACCCAAGTGAGGGTCAGACCCTTAGTAGCAGTAACTCCTCCGTATTTAGTAAAGGGGCAGTTACCCCTTTGTGTTAACGTGTTGATGTTATAATAAATGTGTTGCCTCTAAAGAACAACGTCTGCGACTCAGTTGGACTCACTACATATGTGTAGAGCAGTGAAATAAGTGGTGCGCACAGTTAACCGAGGGAAACTGAGGGCAAATAGGTGCTCGTGAGGTTTGCACGGACGAACCGCCAGTTGTAAGGGGCGAAACAGGTGCAAACGGGATCGACCGGTTGTGCACGTTGAGACCGGAGATGTTGCCAGGGAGACAGGAGATAAGGGTTGATTGATGGGCCAACAGGCGAGAGCCTAAAGAGATGCACGAGAGGTCTCGGATAATTAGCTGCTGAGTGCAGGATAATGGAGGTAAAAGATAGATAAGAGTAGGGAGAAGTAACCATAAGTGACCGTACAGATAGTTATAGGAGTGCCTACAACTGGCGCAAGAATATGTTAATTAAGTGTGAGCAGGTGACTTGTTACAACGTGTTGGTGTAACTAATTTTTAAGACACTACATATGTGCGAAATTGTGTGTGTAAGTCAGTGTGTGTGAAAGTGAGTGTGCGTGTGCCCCTGTATGTGTGTGGGGAGCGGTAGTGTAACGTTTAGCGCGCTGCGCAACCAACACGGTGACCCAAGTTCGATTCCTTCTCACGACAAACACCAGTGACTATTATCTGAATGGGTTTTGGGCCTCCCCTAGGTCGATTAATCCTCAAATTAGTATTAGTACCTGATTCGGTTTGTGTACATCGCCACTGGGGAGTCAATGATGGTTAATCGTGGCCGGGTGTGGTGCTGTATCGGCCTTCATAAATGCTGTTCTCCAACAGTCTGTTCAGGCTATATGTCGTTGGAGTGTGTCTTTGTTTGTGCGTGTGCCCCGTGCGTGTATCTTTGTCTTTGTTTGTCTGTCTTTGTGTTTTGTGTTTTTTTTCGGTGTGTATGTGCATGTCCCATGTGTGAGTGAAATTGTGGTGAATCATTATGTCCCTTTAGACAAGCAAGCTAGCATCATGACTCAAAATAAGTGGGAAAAAACGGATTCTGTTTTTTTTTTAGGTTATTTTCTTTAATGTTTTTTTTTATATTATACATTACTTTTTTCCAGTTTTACATGAAAAGATGTTTTATTATTGATGAGTTTAACAATGTTTCCCTTTTTTTGCTGAACCGTGGCACATTTCATAACACTGACCGTATTGGCATTTAAATAAAATACATTGGTGTGTTCTGACTTAAGAACCGCTTGACTTATGAATGTTCTTAAGTCAAGGACCGCCCGTACTCCCATCTCCTGGTAACCTTGCAGCCCCACTGGTTTGGGAGTTTCACAAATATTGACGTGATCCACTAACCCTTGATTCTTTGCTTCCACGGTACAGTCATGCAGCAGCACATAAAGCTTTCGTAAATATAGGTGCCGCGTGCGCACACAGACCACCGCTCTTGGCTTGGGACTTGGCTTCGGTTGAGTTTAAACGCAATGACATCGCTCGCAATGTTCCCTTGCAGGGATTCTCTTTTAATTGTAATATCCGTCTTTAAAGGTAGAAGAGAACACAGGAAACCAATGTCTAAGTTTAATCTTTAAAATAATACGTTGATATTAAAAATATATCCCACACGTGTTTGTCTTGAGCGCTGTGCGTAAATGTGCGTCCAAGAGGTGTTGCGCACTGCAATACAGTCCCGGCGACCTGGGTTCGCTTCCCAAACATGGGGGAAAACATCAGATATTCGTCTGTATTGGGCTTCATCTAGGTTTGCTTAGCCATAAATGAATACCTTCTGCAATGCGTCTACCATACCACCTCTTCTGTGTGCCAAAAATGAGTTTCTGCCAGCCTACAGAAGTTGTCCAAAATCCCTACGTTTCACCCCACATTCGTTTAAGGGTGAGATTTGTATGAATCGGTGTGTGTGTGTGCGCGCGTGTGAGAGAGAGGGGAGACGGTCACGTGTAGTGGGGAAGGTTCAGTGCGCATGGCGGCACAGGGATTAATTAAGTCAAGCGACTCATGCATGCATGATCTGTGCACCCGTTACTGCGTGTGACTGCCTGCCCGCTGTGCTTAGGCGACTCTCTCGCTCGCGGCTCTCATTAGCGAAGCGCAAAGTCTTTGTGTGTCCTCACTGGCGGCGAGAAAGGCCATTAGCACAAGCAGGCGTAGTTTGCTAATTAAAGGAATTACTCATTCTACAAATTAAACTCTCATTCATATCACAACTCGTGTGTGAGTGGATGTTTTACAGCATAACTTCCCACTTTGAAAGTGATGTCATGATTTAGCATGTTCCCTTGGCTTTAGAAAAAGAAAATCAAACACATTGCAGTTCGACAAGCACACGGGCGAGCGTTGGTCAAATGCATGATAGCTTCTCGCCTATTTTAAACCCCGGGTCAGAGTTTGATTCATTCGTAGAACATCACAGACAAGATATGGAGCTGTGGAGTGTATGGTCAGGGCAACACTGGTGCAAGCCTCCCGTCACGGAGATTGCAGACACGCTTCATCATTTGACTGTAACACACACACACGTTCATTTTAACACGCACCATTCTCTTATGTATAATAAAATGTGCACCATGAACACAGCAACCCGAGTTCGATTACTGGTGACGTCTAACATCAGTGGCGAGTGATATATGAACCTGTCCTGGCCCCCCTTTACGAAACTCACATTGACCAGTGTGGTGAAGTATGGTCAAACTCCTATTACTGCCACAGAGTGCGTTAAGTCTTCATCCAGCAGTGGATAGATAACGTCTGTAAATTATGACTGTATTATAAACATAATTATATAATTTACCTGATCGGGTGGTGTTGGTAAACATTTAATTTACAATCAGCACACCATCTTTCTCAAGTCAATAAAATAAATACAACTTTTTAGAAAGTCAACCACGGGCCATTCTAGGGTTACGATCCCTGACATTGGAATGTGGAATGCACACCGGTTTCGAAGAGCAGCCACCCCAACGCCGCGCGTTTAATCAGAGAGACTACCATGACAATATACAGCGTGCGTCACGGGTGGTTAACTTCAGAGCCGTTGCGATTACCAGGGTATTAAGTTGATCAACAAGCTCTTATCAAACACCTATGACCCGCAATTGTATTGTAAAGACGTGCCAACTTTATGTTTTGCTATTAAAATCACACACATCGCCATTTGCTCCACTGTGAATAGGCCTTATTCACGGTTCAATGTCTCTTCTCACCAATAGCAATTTTATTGACGGACAGGTTGTGGAGTGGTGGTTGATGCATTTTGTGCTATGAACACAGTGACCTAAGTTCGATTATCGGCGTTGATTAACATTGGTGTGCGAGTGATATCTGAACTGGTCTTTTTGGGCCTGAACTTCACCGATTCGGATTTACCAGCGTGGTGAAGTACGTGCAAATCTAAATTATCTGCAAGGCGTGGGGATGCCTTAATCCAGCAGTGGATTGGCACTTTGGGGTTTATTATTATCATCATAATCGATTGATATTTGTACAATATGCGAGAGTGATTGTGCAGTGGTTAGTGAACTATGAACCCAATGACAAGTTCGATTCGCAGCCATTGTTAACATGAATGGTGAATGACATCTGAACAGGTCCTCGACCCCATTTCCCACATCTGCACTGACCAGTGAAGTGAAGTTTGTTAATACAGCAAACCACAATGATAGACAACAGGTGTGAAATTATATATCAATTTATTTTAATATCATCATCATCATCCATGATCGAGAGACTGCTGGAAGAAGGCCTTCCCAATACATCATCCCTCAGGGAGTCGTGATGCAACAGTATTGTTCCTGAAAATGAGGCAATCTCATTGCTCCTGTTCCATGCTAGACATAATTTCAGGCATGTTCATTAATTTGGCTGCCACTCTGTTCATCTCAACCACCCAATCTGACGCGTCTAACTTGTTGGAGGGAAACATTTGGAAAACACATTGGAGTATGTGTGGACCAGTTATTGAAGGCGGCACACGATTTATATGATTACATAGAGGGGCAGAGGAGAACAGGGTGAAGTGCTTTTATAAAACTGAATTTAATAAAGAAAGGCAACAGAGCTACATGTATGTACCTAGAGAAGGAAGCGTTGAATTAGTGTATACTACCTGCTATGACAAACGAATAAAAAACACAGACATCGACAAAGTGAAACATGCTGAAAGGTGCAGAGTGAATCATGGGGAGGTACACGCTTGGAGTTATACCGAGAGACATTAGAGGAACATGTGGATTCGAGAACATACTCAAATTAAACACATAAGTATACAGAATGGTGAGTGCACTTGGACGGGACACATCGTGAAAAGGAATTATAGCTAGTGGTCGGGACTAATGAACTAACGTGCCCAAGAGGACGACGCTCACCACACATGTGGAGCAACAAAATTGGCTCTTGTGCAGGCGCTAGATGACTGTTGCATCGGATGACCGTAAGATGGGGGATGGCTTGAAGATTCCTTCATCCAGCAGTGGATAGATTATGGCTGATAATGAACGTATCGGCGACATTGAACCGTGGTGTGCGGTATAAGAAAAAAAAAATCGCAATTATTATTTCCCCACGAGTCGCAACCAGGGTCAGAAAATATTGTGGGGTGGTGGGGCGTCAAAATCAGTTATCCAGATGTTGAAGCAGTCGGAAGACGGATGTCATTTTAAATGTTAATTTTATAACTGTTTTTATGAGAACCGGTGTGTTATGCTGCACCGGTGTACTGCCAATACGTATGTTTTTTGGGTCCAGTTGATGGAATGTGTCTTTCTTGCCATCACAGCGAGAGAAGTTCCCAATGTTAGATATCCCTCACCACGTGCACCACACGATCGGCTCGGTGGTCATCGCCATCGGCTTCACAGGGATCATCGGCAACTTCCTCGTCATTTACGTCTTCTGCAGGTATGTGTCTTAGCATCTGGGGAGTCGTGCTGGGGGTGGGGGCATGGGCGATAGGGTGGCGCAGTGATAACGCTTGTTCTTCGCAGAAAGAAACCTTCATTACATTCCCCACTCGTGTGCCTTTCTGTGTGTAGTTTGTGTGTTCTTCCCCTATCTGCATGGATTTTCTTCGGGTTCTCCGGTTTTCTCCATAGTTAAACAAACACAATTTAACTGGTATTAGTAACGGAGTATAGTACAACCGTATATGTATAACCGTATATGCAGTGGCAGCTGCTCTGGAGCATTGGAGGCGTACCCCGCTTGAACATTTAATTTCATTGAATTTTTTTAGGTCACAGCCAGAGGAATAAAGGTAGGTCTTGAGCCTAGAATTCGACCAGGGCCAGGGATGAGAGAGAAGAGGTAGGCAGGGCTAATCCATAAGTGATCTTGAACATGACAAAGGGTAACTTAGAAATTTCATTTGAGTGGATTGAGAGCCAGTCGTGGGTTCGGAGTATTGAGACTCCGAGCCCACGAGGGTGAGAATCCTGGCAGTAGCATTTTTATCATCCGGAATTTAGAGGTGAAAGGTTTTTGAATGTTTGCACAGCAGACAACTTTAGTGCTGAGTTTAGATGTGATGGAGGCATGGGTGTGAGCGTCTAACCAGCAGCTGGGGCAAGGAAGTGGCAGGCGTAGATATTGCGCAGATGCAAGTAGGAGGTCCTGTAAGGTATACTGGAAGAGAACGAGAACCCAGCATCAATGATGGCTCAAGGGTTTAACGCATTCAGTCTCACGGCATAGTTTGGAATTTTGATGGAGTAATACGCTGCCCTGGTGGATAGACTGCTAATTGTGCTCATATCCAGAATAGAGAAGATAACTTACTGAGTTGGTGGTGGATATTCCATGTTCATATGGCAAGGACCAGTATATCTCAATGAAATTGTATAACGGCCACTTATCTACCAGTGAGTGGTTTAGCATGGCTAGCGGGTGCTCTTTCTTATAAATTTAGGAGTAACAAGGATCGAATTAATAGATAATTATGATGAAGATGATTATATTAAATAATACATGATACATTTATATTTTTTGGTGACAATTGAATATCTTGATACATTATGAAGTATTCAATTGGAAATAAATTATGATAATGGATACAATTATTATGTTGACAAAAGTGATGATGATGAATTATGAAATAGTTGATTCAATTATGGTCGGCAAATGAACCCACTACCCCTTGCTGAGTCCGTTGAGATGTGTCCCAGCCATTTCATGCTCCCTTGGAAGAGGCACCAAGCACTAGAGCCTTTTTATCGCACAGCACATATGCTCGTTTCCTCGTGAACATGTTTCCCACGAGTCTTATGAAGAGGAGGAGCACTTATTTGCGTCTCTGTGGATTCCCACAATATGGAAATGGAATGAAATGTCATCGATTAAAAAAAGGTCAGTGCCATCAAAGGTGTTAAAATGAGTGATTGTGTATATTGCCCATGGGTCTCAAATGCATTTGCACTATCCCTGCAGAGCAGCAGGCTTCACGTCTCTACAGAAGGTGCTGCTGAACTTAAAAAAACGTGCACCTTTATCATGATTATTTGTAGTCTTCTCTGAAAAAAAGCATTGTAATTTCCACCGCTGAGTTCCCAGATGAAAGGCATTGAAAGATCAATTAAGAGCATGCTTAAGGGTGTAGTGGTTCACATGAGTTATGCTAGGTGCGCGGGCAGAGTAATAATTGATTTAAAATAAATGTGTTTTGCTCCCACGTGCTATATTATAATGTTTAAATCTCACAAATGACTAATTTTGAGTATTATATTTTAGATTTGTTCGCCTAATTTAATTCAAAGGTGACTTGTTACGGACATTGGACTTATACTAATGACTTATAAAGCATGACACTAGATGCATTTCTTCGTTTGCAAGGTGATATTACCAAAAGTCTGTGTGTCTAGTGATGTTATTGAGCCATTTAATTGTCCCTGTGGAGGCTGGCTGGATGTCGGTAATATTTCCCACGAATCGGCAGTATAGGCAGTGCTGGATCATGTGGTCGATAGTCTGGCTGTGGTGACATTGCCGGGTGTTCTTCATGTCCATCGATGAAGGAGGTGGATCGCATCTACTGTGCCCTGCTCTCCCAACGATTCAGGGCTGACCACTTCCCTGGGTAGGATTCGAACCCTGGGAGTTATTTTTTAGGCCAGTAACGAGCTCCTTGTTCACGATGGTGTTATTGCACTAAGATTTCTGGCAATGTTCTTCCGGGGCGGAAGGAACTCGCGTTGAGGACTTTGGCCCTAATTGCGAGCTCCAATATGCGCTGTGAAAGAGTGATGATGATCATTCTTTCACAGCCCTGATTTATATTGGCCCTCATTTAAACACATTGTAACTAATATTGATACTGCAGCTCATGTGTACCTGAGTGTGCTGGTTTTGTTTTCAGTTTGCTTTAATATTTTCTACTTTGCGTCTTGTTCCTTTTTAGATTTTTATAAAATAGGTGGGAGAAGTGCGGTGGTGGCAGTGGTTAGTCGACTGAGTTAGGCACTCTGATACCTGGGTTACATTTATGGTCACGGCTGACATCAGTGGCGAGTGATACCTGAACCGGTCCCGATGCTCCCTCCCCCCCTTTACCAGCCCACCCTGACCAGAATGAAGTATGGTCAAACACCCCCATGACCAAAAAGGTGTGGAAAGGGCTTCATGCAGCAGTGGATTGACAAGCACATTTAATTTTACAAATATGATGATTGATGATGATGATGATGATTATTGGAGACTATGTATGTGGCACGGGATGAGGATGGTAGATTGCCAATCATCAATATAATAATTTGTAATTTCACAATGCAGGCAATTATATCAACTTCCCATCTATTATAATTTTTGATGGATGGCTTTAGGCGACCATTTTTCTCGAATGGCATATGTTGTATCAGACCTGTGATACTTTTTATATTTGTGTAGAATCTTATAGCTTTTACTAATATCTTTTTCAATTGCTAAAGTACAATTCATATATAGTTATTGGGAAATGTATTACTTTTGAATGATTGATTTTTAAGATTGTGTTATTTCTTTTTCTGCACTATTCTTTATATTGTTTTTGCACCCTGGCAAAAGAGATCATCTGGGTATACCGATCAGGAATGTATTAATAATGGATAATGATGATAATGATGATGTCATTGTTAAAATGTCTATAATGTCATTTCAAGAGTGTGCTTAGATAATTTCTCAAATTTTATATTTTAAAGTTATGCAGATTACAATAACAATAACCGCAGCAGTCGTAATAGTTTATATTTGCTCTTACTCAATATGTACTGCATCTCTTATCGAAGCGGTCGCATAGTTAAGGTAAAGAACGTTCAATCAAGTTAGTCCTACCTGTGCGACCTACACTCACGTGCGTGTGACCGGTGTGTTCAGGAGCAAGAGTTTGCGCTCGCCGGCCAACATTTTTATCATCAACCTGGCCTTCGCCGACTTCTTCATGTCCATCACACAGACACCCATTTTCTTCGTCACGAGTCTTCACAAGCGTTGGATTTTCGGGGAGAAGGGTGGGTGACGCAAACTATGCAGAGTGAGCAGCATCGGTGTGCGAGTATGTGTAAATGCTAATCGGAGGTGCAAATGTGTGTGTACATTACTGAGTGGGGAACGGTAGTGTAGTAGTAAGCGTTCTCTGCTATGAACCCGGTGATCTGAGTCCGATTCCTGATAACGGCCAACACCAGTGATGATTATATGAACCATACATGGGCCTCCCTTAGGTCGACTCGGTCTCAAATGAGTACCTGATGCACTGTGCTAATATTGCCACTAGTGAGACAAAGACAGCCGGGTATGGTGCTGACCACCCACCCCCTTGTATGCCATACAAGCCTTCATAGATGCTCGTACAGCATTTTCCCCAGAAGTCTGTTAAGGCGAGATAGGGGATCTTTGTCTTTGAGTGTATTGTGGCAAAACAACCCTCACCTCCTCGGTAGTTGCTAGTTGGTAACGCTGTTGTGATGTGAACAATTCCATTGGATGGAAAATTTATACTAATCAGCTGTTACCCTCATGGAGTGTTCGCAGCTGCCACAGTGGCCAATGGGGATCAAGATGCGTGCCAGGGGCTGGTAACCCCTCTGCCTTTAATTAAACTACCAAAAAATACAGAAAGGATCAAACTAAGCTTATGCGGGAGGTCCCGGGGGCACAGGCATATGTGACATCTCCTGGCCAAACCCCTATTGATGAGGCCAGGAGACTTAACCCCCCCTCCAGGTTTCTCCAGAAATGGCAGGAAACCACTGCGGTTGGACACGTGGGATGTTGAAACACTCACTAGGGACGAGAGGCTATCATTCTTCTGTCAGGAGCTGGACCAGTATTGCCTCGACTTCTGCGGAATACACCCCGTATGATGAATGGCTTCAGTCACGATAAGGGGTGGACAGTCTTCCACTCAGGGCAGGAAACTGCCAAACAACAGGGAGTGTCTCTTTTTCTAAATAAAACAATGAAGGGGGCATGGGAGCTTGGCAGTGAGGTGTTTGAAGCTGCGAGTCTCAGGCTACTGTGGGCTCGCTTCCTCATCAATGAGAAAAGAGAAATGGTGGTGGTGGCTAACGCCCCCACCGAAAATAAACATCAGTTGAGGGATGAAGGCAAGGCTGATAAGTCGGATGCCTATTATGATCTCCTGTCCCAGGTGTTAGTGGCTTCGGGATAGAGTCATCCTGTTGAGAGACTTTCATTCCCAAGTGGGTCATGATGTATGTATAGTGGCGTATTCACACGGACACTTTTAGCTTTTCTCCTGTGTCACTTTATTACTTCACATCCCGTATGGATGCTCCTCACACTAACACAACGCACCCTTGCTCCGAACTCCCTCTCTCTATAATCTGCTAGCCTGTCACTCTACACTCCGCTAGCCTGCCACTTAATACTTCGCTAACCTGTCACTTAGTACTCCGCTAGCCTGTCACTTAATACTCCGCTAGCCTGTCTCTCTTCTCTCACACCTCCAACTCGTCCTTGTCCCCAGTGGGGGATCAGCCAACACCGCTGGGGAGGACGAGGTGTAGAGGGAGAGGTCCCAGTCTTCTCTCCAGCTCTTGTCCTCTTCGTTCCTTCAGCTTCAACCAACTACCCTGTGTTGCTCCGCACACACCCTTATATCCCCCTCCTCATTAAGGGTCCTCAGTTACCCCCCATTAAGCTGGCGCCTCAGCGGCGCTTCCTGCTCGTGCTCTCTCTCTAATCATCTCCATCTCTCGCCTCTCTGGCATCTACTTGTGTTCCCACGCTCGCACCTGCCTATCCCCAAATGCACCCGGTTAATTACTGCTTCTCCGCCTAATTGCTGGGGCCTCTCTGGCGGCTACTCCATTTTTTCGCGCTTGCACCTGCTCGCCCTCAAATGCACCCGCTGTTTGCAAACCCCGCGCGTTATGCCACTACACATGTACCTGGGCTGGACTGATTAGAAGGCAAGGGCCAGATCAGCTCAATAAAAATGGGAAGAAGCTGATAAACTTCTATGGAGCCGATGGGCTTTGATCACCAACACGCTGTTCTTCCATCAGTGCATCCACACAACATCATGAATGCACGCCGAGCCCAAGCAAAAGCATCTGCTGGACTATATAGTGATGAAACAGTGAATGCTGGCCCTTGTCATTGACAACAGGACCTACTGTGTAAAATCTTTCCACTGATAATTATTGGCTTGTTACATTTAATGTGCCTACTATTCTTCCACTATGCTAGTAGGCATCTTCCTCGGATCCCATTCAAACCCACAATAGCCTAATTTTGGCTAACAAATAAAAAACTACAACATTCCATTTAGACACCGCACCAGATACTCATCTGTGGCTGAGTCAACCAAGGGGAGGCCTAGGACTGGTTCAGATAATTGTCACTGTTGTTCGCTGAGAGCGAGAATGAACTCGGGTCTCCCGGTTCGTAGTGCTGCATGCTAACCACTGCACTACCACATGTACAAATGCACACACACACATGCAGGTTGTGAGCTGTATGCTTTCTGCGGAGCGCTCTTCGGCATCGCGTCCATGATCACCCTCGTGGTCATCGCCACTGACCGCTACCTGGTGCTGACTCGGCCCCTCGCCTCCATAGGAGCCATGTCCAAACGGCGTGCAATGTACATCACGGCGGCCGTGTGGTTCTACTCGCTCGCCTGGAGCCTCCCACCCTTCTTTGGCTGGAGTGAGACATAAGCTCCAGCCCAATTCCTTTTATGGGCACCACCACCACAAGTTCAAATCCCACTACCACCGCTGAAGCAGCCCACTGCCAACACAACCCACCACCAACACAACTCATTACCAATGCTGATACAGCCCATAATCAAGGTTTTTGGGTTAGATCGCGATATTTATGAATGTGTCGTAACCCTCCACCACCCGACACGGCCAATCAGCAAAAAAAGTGTCACGTTGACAAAAGACAAATATTTAAAATTGTAAATGTTGTGGTTTCACGCTTAAACACACCGGTGGGCTAAAGTAGTCAACTTTTTGTCTTTTGTCAACGTGACACTTTTTTTGCTAATTGGCCGTGTCGGGTGGTGGAGGGTTACGGCACATTTATAAATAACGTGATCTAACCCAAAAACCTTGATTATGAATAATATTGGTCGCGAAAGCCTACGTGTTGAACTGATACAGCCCACTACCAACAAAGCCCACTACCAAACACAGCTCACTAACAACACAGCCCACTACCAACGCTGACACAGCCCACTACCACCACCAACAGCGCCCATTACCAATGATGATACAAGCCCACTACCAACACAACCCACTACCAAGGTGATATCTACTAGCAGATGTCACTTTAGCACTCCTGAAAATCACAACATGCAATTTTTTGCATTATTTTTCTTATTAACAAATCTTAAGGCGAAAATGCTTGCGCTGGGTTGGATGTGTGCAGGATGGGAGAGGATCAGTTGCTGAGACAGCCATTAGAATGGGTCTCCAGGAGTACAGCAACCAAGGGGAAGACTGCTAAGACCAAATGTGGGGAGACTATGAGGACAGATCCTGGAGGTCGCCGCGCATCTACTGTGCACCAGCTGCAAGATCTGGCAGGGGGGTAGGAAGTGTTTGACGAGGAGTTACGGTGGTGGCATCATTGGCTTTGGCCATGACGTCTTGACCTTGAACAAAGCTTCAAACTCTAGTGAGACTTCCTGGGACACAACACGGGATGTATATCTACAAAGTTGAGTGATGTTGTTTGAGTTAAACAATAAACTGTGAATAATTATTATTTTACCAGTTAAGGCACACTGAGCTTTTTAAAGAAGCGACCTGGCCACAAATTATAGCTCAACGAAATGGCTTATCATGTGGAAATTTATAGCAGCCAAATACTGTAAACGCATGTTTCTAAATATGGGGGTAAAAACCTGAGGATTCCTAGAAAAATCCACGCTACCACGGGGAGAGAGAAATGCAAAATTCAAATACACGGAATTCAGGTTCGGGATCGAACCCACGACCTCCTGTACACCAGGCGAGGGAGTTAACATCTTGGCACCATGTCTTTAGTCCGGCTGTTTATGCTTTTTTGGCATTTGTAGGTGCCTACGTCCCAGAGGGACTCATGACGTCGTGCACATGGGATTACGTGACATTCACACCAGCCGTACGCTCCTACACCATGCTGCTCTTCTGCTTCGTCTTCTTCATCCCGCTCATTGTCATCATCTTCTGCTACGTGCGCATCTTCGTAGCCATCAAGAACACCAACAGGTGAGGCATTCTCGCGAGTTTGTGTGCACAGTCTGTCACGTATTTGTGCGCATGGTCTGTGACGTGTTTGAACGCATGGTCTGTCACGTGTTTGTGTGCACAGTCTGTCACGTGTTTGTACGCATGGTCTGTCACGTGTTTGCGCGCATGGTCTGTCACCCGTTTGTGCTCATGGTCTGTCACGTGGTCTGTCATGCGTTTGTGCGCATGGTTTGTCACGTATTTGTGCGCATGGTATATCACGTGATTTGTCACGTGTTTGTGCGCATGGTCTGTCACGTGTTGTGTGTACTGTCTGTCATGTGTTTGTGCGCATAGTCTGTCACGTGTTTGCGCGCGTAGTCTGTAACGTGTTTGTGAACACGGTCTGTCACGTTAAATTTTGATTTAAAGCTTTCGTGACTGCAGGGATTCATATTCTTGGTTCTTTCGGTAAAGTCACGTAGAAGGGAAATAATAAAATAATATAAACATAAAATAATTAAAAAAATTCACGACGTTTCGACTGCAACACAAGCAATCATCATCAGGTGTGGTCTGTCACGTGTTTGTGCGTGTGATCTTTCACGTGTTTGTGCACGTAGTATGTCACGTGTTTGTGCGCATGGTCTGTCACGTGGTCTGTCACGTGTTTGTGAGAATGGTCTGTCACGTGTTTGTGCGCGTGGTCTGTCACGTGTGTGTGCTTGTGGTCTGTCACGTGTTTGCGCGCGTAGTCTGTTACGTGTTTGTGCACACAATCTGTCACTTGTTTATGCGTGTGGTCTTTCACGTGTTTGTGCACGTGGTCTGCCACGTGTTGTGTGCATGGTCTATCTCCCGTTTGTCCACGTGGTATGTCACGTGTTTATGTGCGTGGTCTGTCAATTGTTTGTGCGCATGGTCTGTCACGTGTTGTGTGCACGGTCTGTCACGTGTTGTGTGCACGGTTTGTCACGTGTTAATGCGCATGGTCTGTGACGTGTTTGTATGCATGGTCTGTCACGCATTTATGTGCATGGTCTGTCACGTGGTTTGTCACGTGTTTGTGCGAATGGTCTGTCACGTGTTGTGTGCATGGTCTGTCACGTCTTTGCGCGTGTAGTCTAACGTGTTTGTGCACACAGTCTGTCACTTGTGTATGCGTGTGGTCTTTCACGTGTTTGTGCACGTGGTCTGTCACGTGTTTGTGCGCGTGGTCTGTCACGTGTTTGCGCATGTAGTCTAACGTGTTTGTGCACACAGTCTGTCACTTGTTTATGCGTGTGGTCTTTCACGTGTTTGTGTACGTGGTCTGTCACGTGTTGTGTGCATGGTCTTTCTCTTGTTTGTGCACGTGGTCTGTCACGTGTTTGTGCGCGTGGTCTGTCATGTGTTTGTGCGCATGGTCTGTCACGTGTTGTGTGCACGGTTTGTCACGTCGTTGTGCGCGCTGTTTGTGAAATATCAGACCCACGTTGTGGTGGCAATATACACTCGTACACAGCATGAAACAGTTGCCTTACAATTTCACAGTACAGCAATATAAACCATGAAAAATATCCTTACTGTCACCACGTTGACTAGAGGAATGGACGTGTTAATTATCTGTATTGTGGACTTGGTAACGTGAGTTGTGTTGGTCATCATCGTCAATTAAAACTTGATATTTATAATTATATATTATCAGTCAGCATTTACAACATCTATAATTCGCCGACACTTGCTGGCCTTGTTCAATTTGCCCCTGGGGCGTGACTGTCCGCACAGGGCTGTGAAGACTCTGGGGGAAACCCATGATAGTAAGGAATCACAGAAGCAGCAGCAACGGATGAACGCCGAGTGGAAGCTTGCGAAGATTGCCCTCATTGTCATCTTGCTCTATGTGGTGTCCTGGTCTCCGTACTCGTGTGTGGCGCTTGTGGCCTGGGCTGGGTACGTTTGTCCTGCCGCTCTCCTGCCTAACTCGCCACCTCCTGGTTGTTTTTGCTCTGATTTATGATTATAGTTTTTTTTGTTGCTTTGATTTCTATTAACTTCATTGCTGTACTTTGTTTTATGTTGTTTTAATGTTGGTGACCCAGGTCACTTCCAAATGGGATGTATCCTGATATCTTGAGTCCTCTCCTAGTTAAGCAAAATAAACGTTAAACTTCTTTACAATGCTCAGGTGGGAATCTGTCTCCAACCTCTCCACCTCCTGCTCTCCTTTCCACCATATTCATCTCCCTCACCCCGTTTAGATAACTTTAGACCACCTTTGCTCCCCTCCAGAAAATTAAAAAAACGCTTCGGCCCGGATTATTTTTAATCATCCACACCACACCCATTCCTATGTTCTCCTTGTCGAACTCCATAACTCCATTAGCTTCCCATCGACTACCGATGTTTATTAAAATTACTTACCCTCGTTTAAAAATCACGCCTTGGTTCTGCTCCACCCTATCCCGCTTCTCTTATTTCTTATTATGTCTCATCTCGGCCCCTGCGTTCACAATCTCTGTTGTCCGTCACTACGCCCCCCTCCCTGTGCTCAGTCACGTTACCGCTCCTCCCTCCTGGCTCCCCTCCATTTAAATAAACTGCCACTCCACATCAAACAGGCAACTTCACTCAACCATGTTTCATTCCTCCATTGATATTACTCTTTTTTTCAATAGCATATACCTATACTGCTTGCTATCCTCGTCCTTAAAAGCTTAACCAGCCTCTCCCTTCCTAACCTCGCCCTCCCTTTCCCTATCACCACCCTTCCTTGCCATCCCTTCCCCTCCCCAACACTCAAACCCCATCCCTTTTCCCCATCAGCCATTACTAATGTGTCATTTATAACTCTTGTAAAGCACTTTGACAAAAGCGCTATACAAAATCCTAGAGATAGGATAAGACTATATTGCTCCATGACAAATGACTTGCAGTGAATAACAATAATAACAAATGTCCACTATTTACCAATGAGAGGTTCAATGAGCACTCAAGACTCAGAAGGGTCCTTCATTGGAGTGGTTGGCCCATTCATTATATGTGAGTGTTTGGCATGTGGGAGGAAACCAGAATTCCTGCCGAAAAGTGAAACACACAAGCTCAGTACAGATAGATTGAGTAATCTGTTGCTCTATTGCCAGCCTCCATCTTGTTTAGCTTTTGAGATCTTACAAGCTCCAGCACGATCAAGGTAACTTGATTGTTCCACATTTGTATGAGTGCAGAATCACATAATCCAGCTGCTAGACTGCCCAGTTATAGCATTGTACGTTCCGACCCTAATGAAAGTTTGAAAGTATTTTTAAACTCTTTTATTCATGACCATAGCTTCAAACTTCTGTCAGAGAGCCCGGGACCCATGACCGAGGTACAAGGCTAGTAACGATGGATTATGTGCTCATGGAATGCACAATGAAGTGCAAACAGGACGTAAAATACGAGAAACAATAGAGGGAAGATGATGAAGCAAGTTAAGAAAAAGATCTTGGAACTGAATTGCAAATCCCGATTTGTGACAATTCATTGCACCACCAGAGGAGTGAATCACTCCTTAGCTACTTGGTGCATTTCTACAGGATACGAGCTGCTTCTACTCTTCGAGTTGTTTAACTTGGCTGCTGCCTGTCTCCGCAGTTACGCTGACATGCTCACGCCCTACATGAACTCCGTGCCTGCCATCATCGCCAAGGCGTCGGCCATCCACAACCCCATAGTGTACGCCATCACACACCCCAAGTACAGGCAGGCGATCGGCAAGTACGTGCCGTGCCTTCGCTCGCTGTTCGGCGTCGTCCGCAAGGGCTCGCGGACTCTGTCGGGTGGCAGCTTCCAGTCGACACGACACTCCACGCTCTCCAGCCAGATGTCGTGTAGTGGTGACACGGTGCGATGGCATCGTCAGCCGACCTGCACCTCTGACTCAGAGTCGGTAAGGAGCCAGGACAGAGATGGCCGGGTGGTTCTGGGGAAAGGGAGGGGGTTTCACGACGGTGACGTCTGCACCGCTCTGAGACCCTCTCGTGCGGTGCAGGCGGCGTTAGCCAAGTCGCCAATGCCAGTACAAAAAAATAAAATAACATTTTCTTATTTTCACAACGTGATGTCAATAGTTCTTAGAATTAGGTCGGAGAAAAGTAGAAAACATACACCCATTCAAATAAATGTAACTATATATTTCCTGTTTGTTATATGTAACTGTAAGTAGTAGTGTGCATTTACATTCAATTAAAACAGCTTCTTATGAGGCTTAAGAGCTCTATTTAAAATATCAAAATAAGTAATTGGTGTGATTGAGAGTGTAAAGGAGTTATATATATTTTAAGCTACATAAGCCAAATACCTCTTTTAGCGGTCAATAGATTGGCATTGTAAACTGCTCGTTCATATAGAGTAAATAGAATGTATAACATCGTGATTATTCAAGTTTCCACTGGGTTTCCAATTAGAAAGAGGGGAAATTATTCCACTGTTACATTTTTTTATTCCTCCTTCTTACTCACTGAATCCTGATTACAAATATACGTAAATAATTTATCCTGACCTTGAGTGGTATAAAACAGGAGACACATTTACATTCCTTTAACAATTTATTTTTACTTAAGCAGAACTTTGAGGAGAACATCTGACTGTACACCCCGTGTGAGGACGGCTTGTCACCCGCTCTCACTAGTGCTGGACGGACATGGAGGGGGAGTCAGGGATCCGGACCCGGCCAGCCAGCCGTCAGGTCTCCTATGACCTTCCTCGAGATACCATCGAGGGCCAGGACCTGGGGAAAGCGAGGTGCCATGACTCCGGCATGTTCGAAAAGGTGTGTGTATGAAGGATGGTGCAAATGAATACGGCTACTGATTACCTATTAAGGCTTTCACAGCGACACGATGGAGTGGTACGGCCACGGCACCATGGCCTGCTGCTCGTTTACGTGATGACGAGCACTCGCCGTGTATTTCCATATTTCCATGAGATATACCTGTATGCTTTAAAGTAATTTATAAGATGTCCACATAGACACCACGGGAGTTAAATACTCCTCGATGACCCTTGATTTCCTCTTACCCTTTCGTGTTAAAGATGTTGACGTTGGCATCCTGTAGTCTGCTCGCTCTTAGAGAGTGCGACGTGGAATTCACTGTTTGTGAAGACGACTTGGGGTTAGCACAACCCAATGTTCGTAAACTTCTGAGCTTTTTTGATGGTCACAGCAAAACGCCGCACGGACTGGAGGCATTGTGTGGTCAAAAGGTGCCAACTCTCTTGATCATTCAAGCTGTTTCTCGTTGCACACTACACGATATATATGTAGTGGCATAGAATAGTAATGTAGTAGTATAGCGCTGGCTGCTGGCAGGGAAGGGGATCTGTGGCTTACAGCAGCCCTGACGTCAGCAGGCCAGGTTATACACCAGAGGGGGGTATAGGGGAAAGGTCACAGAAGGGACACACCAAGAACCGCTGGTAGGTTCTAGAAAGGGGGCGTGGCCGGGAGCGGAGCCATGCCACACTGACAGTATAAAAGGGGCCCCTCTAGGGGACCTCGGGGCTGTTGTATGGAGTGGGATCCTCATCGTGCTGCTGCAGTTTTCACCATTCTTCTGGTTGTCTTCACCATCCTTCTTGTCATCGTCTCCGTCTTCACTATCTTGGAGCGTCACCAGTCAGGCAGCCTACCAACTGTCCTGACTGAGTAACGTTGCCGACCACAGATGGACTTATTGTAAAGTGTTAACCCCGATGGTGCTTGTTAATAAAGAAGTGCCTCCAACTCTTAGTGTCTCCGAGTTAGTTACTACATATGTGTAACAAACCTTCTCGAGACGGCTTCTGGAATCAGTCCTTTATTTTCCACTTCCACAGTTACACACACTCCCCGTTGCTGGCAGGCAACGGGAAACGGGCAGACAGCCGGCGAAGTCGCACCGCGCACGTGGCACCCAGAGCCCCGCACGCGCGTGGCTCCTGCTCTCTTCGTTCCCAGGTCTGCTCCCGACTCCTCCGTCTCTCCCCCTCTTAACCCCTGGGTCACGTGGTACTCCTAAGCCAATCCTCAGTAGTCAGCATCGACCGCTCCAGATCACTCCCCGTCAACTCCCGAGACCACGCCTCTGATCCGGTTTCCCATTAGCTGAGGCCAAGATCGGCCAAGCCAATCACCTTAGCTAACATGCCGTGATCACGCCGAGGTCATGCTCTCGGGCTCTCCCCTCATTGGCTACAAAGCGGGACCGGCAAGCCGATCGCCACTTGAGCCATACATGGTTCTTATTAGATATGTAATAAACAACTTCCACAATGACTCCGGACTGGTGTCGCTTAATTAACAGAATGTTTGCACACCTCCACACTCTCTCTCTGGGTAGTTCTCTCGCTTCCCCCGCTGCCTTGATGATCCATCTCTGTCCACTGCCGCGGCACGCCTCACTCTCTCTCCGCTCACGCCACTGGCTGGCGGCGTGCGCGGAGTAAATGCTACTTCGCTGGAGGTTCGCCACGTGGTCGTTGGCGAGAAGAGGTAGAGCGGCGATGCAGGCTGGACCCGAGGCTTCCCACACCGACCTGGAGTCCTCTCCTGCCTCTGCTTATATGCCTCCTGGCGGAGGTAAGCTCCGACTACCGCAACGCCCTCTTGTGGAACCTTTTGGATGGTTCCCGTATATTCCCCGTAGCTCCACCCATTACCTTTGGCCTCGTTCGAATCCCTACTCCAGATTGGATATCGGTTACCCAGCGGTGGCCATGCAGATGTCCTCTGTAACCCCCCAGGTCGCGCTCTCTCATTACATCACCCCCCCCCCCCGTGATGTAAAAACTAGCCATCCCGGCTAAGAATGAATTTGGACGAGTAATGGAGAGACACAATTAAAGACCTCGCAGCAACAGCAAGCGTGTGTAACAGACATAAAAGCAACATGAACTGTACAAGCCGGCATTAAAAGGCGAGTAACCAAAGTGAAGATAAAACCAGAACATCAGCAAAATCGAGGCGTTTTAGAACGGGTCTGCTATGCCGGGCCCTCCATGGTAGCTGTATCCCGTTCCGCATCGATCAGCATGGCTGGAAGTGGAGCGGTCGGTGGAAGAGCGGAGGGGTCCGATGTAACAGAGCCGGACCGGGCAAGGCCATCGTCCGTGACGGCAGTCAAGGGTTCGGATGCTGTGGACAGCAAAACAGAAATTTTCGGAGGATCAACGTGCAACCACACCCCCTCTGGCTCATTGGACACGCCAGACCCCGGCAACCCAATATGTGGAGATGACAAAGCAACACGTGGAGCAACGAAGGATTTCAGCCGTGATGGATGAATGAACCAACGACGCCGACCCGCCCGAATACGTACACACTGAGGGCGCTTAACCTCAACCACTTCAAACCGGCCCATGCTACGGCTTGTGCAGTTTAGGAGAGGTGGCAACAGGCACCTGAGAGCAAGTCGTGGCCGGACTTGCGCGCACAGCGCTCATTGCGTGCCTGCGTTTTTGTGGTGTTAACTTGAGCTGCCTCCCGCACCTCGGATATCCGGCGCAGGGAGTCCCGCACATGGTCAGGCAGGGTCAGTTTAGCGCCCCCAACAGGCGATCTCAATTGAGCATCAATAGGCGGCACATTTTCCCTTCCGTACATGAGGAAAAATGGAGAAAATCCCGTGGAAGCGTGCAGAGCCATCCTAAAAGCGGCGAGCATGCTAGGCACGTGCAAATCCCAATCGGCCTGTTTGGCATCCACAGTCTGGCAGAGCATAGCTGTCAAAGCCCGATTTAGACACTCGACCATCCCATCAGTCTGAGGGTGATATGGCGATATCCTAATCTTTTTGGTGCCCAAAGCGTCGCAAACATCGCGTAGCAACTTGGAAGAGAAATTCCGGTCCTGGTCCGTAAGCAATGGCTCCGGGGCACCTTTGTCCATGACATAGCCATTCAAAAATGCATCAGCGATGGAGGATGCGGATTGGTCAGGTAAGGGCCTTAGCCATCGGCCACCGGGAAAAATATTCCACACCCACCAAAAGATATTTGTTACCCCTGAGAGTGATCAGGAAGGGCCCCAGGACATCGAGAGCCACCCACTCATTGATGCGCGTACCAGAAATAGATTGCAGCGATGGATGGCATTTGAGGCACAGCGGCTTCCGCCGAGCACACTCATGACAGGAGCTAATAAGTTTAGAGGCATTGGCTGTCCTACCGGGCCAATAATAATCCCGTTGCAATATTAGCAAGGATTTTTGAACACCAAGGTGCAACAACTTTTCACCATACAACACGCGAACCAACCTGTCACGGAACTACAATGCGCCAACGGTCCACTATATCATCCCTCCACATCAAAAGGCCCTCCTGAAAAGTCAAACGACCACCTTCCACTGACACAGAACCCTCACGTGTCTGTTCCACCTGACGCTGCAGAGCCCCTATGGAGTCAAACTCTTAGGTATTTTTGGTAAAGTCACGTAGGTAAAAATTTTAAATTAATAAAAGTAAAATAAAACAAATTAAAAAATTCACGACGTTTCGGAAGCAACACAAGCCTCCGTCTTCAAGTGGAACCATCACAGCCATGACAGCTGTATCAAGTAAATGAGAGATCACAAGAAATACTACCCCGTATATATAATGGTTGAGGGGGGAAGGGCCAGGAACGGCACACTTTTTTATTAATATGGTAAGGTGAGGCTTAAGACCAAGAGTAGACTGCATAACAAAGGACTGAGCCTTTGTTATGGAGAGGTGCGGTTTGTAACTAACACATGGCATACATAACAAAAGTGTGAAAAAAGAAAAGCAAGTAAAAACTAAAACTGGTAAAATAACAAACTAGCTGTCTATCAATAACCTGTAATAGTTGTCTGTCAAATAAGATGGTCCAAATAAGTGTAGTTACATCTTTTTTTTTGCATGGTTAATCACATCTTTCCAATGATTACTCAGTTTGTAACCCTCATCACGGTTGAAATTATGTCTGTGTTTGTATATTTGTATGGCTTCGTGTACAACCCCCTATGGAGTCATCCAACAGCTGCTTGCGCGTCCATACGGAGTGCGGCAACTGCAATACATCGCCGGCCGGCACATCCGCCCCATGCAAGGGAGACTCGCTCACCGCGGACATGACAATATGCGGCAGCGAAGCGACAGGCGAGCAACGACTTGTCCCAGAGGAACATGCGCAACGAGTCACCGGCGGCAATCGAGACAGTGCATCGGCGTTACAATGCCTGGAACCCTTACGATAAACGACATCGAACGAGAACTCCTGTAATATCTCGAGCCAACGAGACAGCTGGCCGTCTGGCTGCTCAACCTTCAACGAGTATTGTAGACACGTAGGTAAAAATTTAAAATTAATAAAAGTAAAATAAAAATAAAATAAAAATCACGACGTTTCGGAGGCAACACAAGCCTCCGTCTTCAGGTGGAACCGTCACAGCACGATAGCTGTATCAAGTGAGAGAAATTCCAAGAACACAGTAATTGTATATATACTAGTTGAGGGTGGGAGGAGCCAAGGTAGGCCCTGAATTTTATTTTTGTGAGGTTCGGTGCGGTTGAAGCACGCTGTTAGTAATGAGCCTTTGTTGTGTAAACTAGGTGCGGATGATGTAAAGGTGCGTGTAAAAGGGACTGAGCCTTTTTGTTATGTAGAGATGATGCGGCTGAAATCGCTGCCAGGAAATTAGTCTTTGTTGTGTAGAATGGTTGACTGAGCCTATTATTATGTAGAAGTGGTGCGGCTTAAATCGCTGTCAGGAAATGAGTCTTTGTTGTGTAGAATGGTTGACTGAGCCTATTATTATGTAGAGGTGGTGCGGC